ATCGTCGAAATACACTTGCTGTACCCGTAGCTCTTGGTGTCGGTATAACAGACATACCCCGTCGGGCAGCACAGCCGTGGCGTCTCGCCGACAGTGACGGGCCCGCCCATGCCGACGGCGCCGTCTTTTGAGCTTGCGAGCGAGGTCGGGAACGCGCAGCCTTCGGTGTAGCCCGAGGGGCAGATGCCGGGGGAGTAGTAGCCCCAGCTATAGTCGTTGACCTGGTGCCATGATGTGGGCATGCATACTACGCTCGAGAGGGGCGGCGTGATTGTGTTTGTCCAGTAAAGGGAGTTGCAAAAGTCCGGCGTCGTGAAGACGGTCGTCAGAGGCGCCGCGCCTCGTTGGGTTGTCATTGGATTCGGGTCGGATGTCGTCGTCATTTGGAGTGCTGTGTTCTGTATGTACTGTGGGAGCGAAAACTAGGCCTCCTCCACGCGCTGCTGGGGTTGGCAGCAGACTGACTGCTGTCCTTCTTGCTTTCGGTAAGGAAGATGAAACTAAAAATCCAATTCAAGGTAAGGCTGCCTTGAGAATGTTTGACTCTGGTGCTTTTCGTATCCTTTTTTTCGAGTTCGACCCCCTTTACTCCATATTCTGCCTTACAGATCGCAAAACGATTGCAGGACCGTGGTGTGTAGTCTTGGCCTCGTGGGATGGTCCCGTATCTGTTCCCCCAAAATCCCCGAGATCGAAGGGTCCGTCGGGGCAGCGTGAGTAACGTGTAGTGGGCCGCCCGGTGGGATATCAGCAGTCCAGTCTCGAAGAACGCGGGCGGGAGATCTTCCAAGACGCAATACACGTAAAATTTCGATCAACGTTGAAGAAGAGTCCAAGTTTGACCGAATAGGTAGGGCAGTAAAGTTAAGATGGTAAATTGGCAGAAAAACAGGAGCACAGATTTCCCAAAGAGTAAACAGCACTGGACACAACTTCTTGGACAGAGTTCCCAGCTATCCGATGGCCGGGGACACCAAGGGTTTCGGGACGGGGACCATCCCACCCCCTCCTTGCTAACAGACGGCAGTCTGCAAGACTGTTAGTGGACTAGTCCGCGGAGAGTAAAGACGGTCTGAAGCAAAGAAGGGAAAAAATGGTCCAATTCCAATTCTTGGTCTTTGGGAGGCCTTCCTCTCTGGGCGGGCGCGCGCTCCGAGCGCGAGTCATAATCGGGGGCGATCAGGGGACGGCTCCACCGCCGTCATAAGTGTCGTAATAATGCTCTGGATTCCCAGTCATCCCCAGTGTTGTTCACTATTGTCCGTGTCAAACTGGCAGTGTCTGGTCATTCTGATGCTAGCCGAGATAAAGACTCGAGGTGCCGCTAACCGCTAGTCGCCCGCGCTTGTTGTGCGAGTACTTGGGTGACTTGCTTGCAAATGGTTCAGATCTGCAAGAGAATGCGATGGATACGAGGTTTCCCGCGTAGGTAGTGGTCACTGGTTACTGGTGTTTTGATTTTCTGCCCTCCCTAGAGTCACTTGTTGTCAGTTCACCACCTACCTATTTGTGCCATTGACCCGAGACAGCGAGGAACGACAGCATACTTGACGTCAGGTGGCGTATGGAACCACCGTCTAGTGTACCATTGGCACAAGAACGGTCCTTGACCGAGGACTACCAGTAACCAACGTCGGCCAATGTGCCGAGAATCACTAATCCGCAGACGGGTTCATCAACTTTACCAAGATTTGGCCAATTGGCCGACTACAGAGACTGGATCGTGGTAGTAGGCGTAGTAGGCACGTGAAATTCAATGTAACGTTAATAAAACGCTAACAGATGAAGACCACCCTTCATCCCAGCTGGTTTCTGATGTCTCTGTTCGGGTTACCCCGTCGGCCTTTTGTGAATTTCCAACAACGCCGTTTTATTCTTTTCAGTGAAATAGTCGCCTACGAGTATTCGTGAAAGTGTCAACTGATAGCTGGAGAAATCCGGAACTCCGTGAAATCGGAAACGTGGCTAAGCGGCCAAGCCAACGCAACGGCCATGATGCCATCCCCGGGCCCGTGAGCGGAATTGAAATCTGGGTTGGACCCAACTTGAATGCTTCGCCAGAGTCGCGTAGAGATTGATCCCACGATGCCGGAAGCGAGTATTTCATAATAACAGCCGCACTTATGACATCCATAGAGGGAAAAGTGAAGACCTCATGCACGGCACATTCTTATATGGTCCCGTGTGACCTTCTTCCCGTCGCAGACTCACAGCCATGCAATCAATGCCCAGGATATGCAAGGCACGCCAAACTTCAGAAGCTATTGAACTCTGTCCTTCTCCGTGGATCATCCAATCAATACTTTTGACACCCATCTGTCAACTCAATTGGGAAGAATAGGGTGGATTTCTCAGGAGGTGGGGTGCCAGGCCAGGCTCAGCTTGACTTTTCCTTTCTGTCTCAGTGTTTTTCTGCCCACTTTCTGGAGGGGCGCAGCAGGCAATCCCTGAGACTTTTTTTTTCAATTGGGGTTTTGCGGATGGAGTTCCTGGTATTGTGCACAGCCGCCGTTGCGACCAGCTCGGCTTTCTCAACTTCTGTCTGCTCTTCTCCATCGGCATCCCTGAGGGCCTAGACTGGCACACTGGCTGGACCTTGCTGGAGTCTTGCGGCTGTGGACAAGTTGGACATGGCAAACCTGCAAGGCTGGGCCAGTTCCATTTCTGTTCAACTAGATGATGGAGCAGAACAGGAGCTGTCCTTGTCTTGACTTTCATGCGGCCGCGTGTGACAAGCGGCCAGTGAGTGAGTGGGTGGGGGGGATGTGCTTGCGAATGGGCAGCCCTACCAGGCGAAACCTACCGTCTCCAGACGAAATGGCAGACTGAACTTTCGAAAAAGTTACACGCGCCACAAGAGAGGAAGCAAGAAGAGGGAATATCGTACGTACATAGAAAGAAAGGTGCTTTGAATCGACAAAAACCAAAATCCCATCGGTAGAATCCCTCAATAGCAAAAGGGATGCCTCGTGGCGGAATCGAACCGCCGATCTTCTCATGTCACTAGGTACTAGTGAGACGCTATACCACTTAGCCAACAAGGCGATGTGTGTTAGCTTTCGGTTTGTAGCTTCTGTAGCGTAGCGCGGGGTCGCAGGGCCCTTCGCACCAAAGCCCATCTCGTAGCGTGTCAGTCGCTTCGCTTGTCTTCCTTCCTCTCCGTATCCCCATTGCTCTTGGTCTCCAACGCCGGGAAAATCAACTCTAGGTTTGGCTCGCAGGCCCACGTCACAACTGTTGTTTTGTCATGGATATGACGAAAAAAGAAAATGGTGAATAAAGATTCCATACCCAAGATTACTTTTTTATGGCGTAGTGTTTCTTCCGTCTTCCCATGCAACATCAACCCATGGTGATAGCCCTTGCTTCCATGCCCGTCTGAGGTAGTCGGCGCCGAGTCCTCATCTTCAAGCGGGCTGTACAAGGTTAATTCAAAATCTAGGACCAGATACTGCTGGAAGAAAGATAGTGACTTGGGCTGGGTCTCTCGACTTATCATATTCACTGAAATTTCTTGGAAATGAGAGTAGTCCTTTTGTAATTTCTCGAAAGTCTCATCTTGAGATCTCGTTTTTTCAGGGGTAAGTCAGTTCTTTATCAGACCTTAGCCAGAGTGGACTGACCTTTGAGGGTAGCAATCAGGAAGGCGGTTGTGGTGGTATTTAGGTTCGCCTAGGTCACGTGGTGGCGGTAAGAGGAAGATACGGCAGGCGCAGCGGAAACGTTGATGAGAAGCCACAACGATATATACCTTTTCGGCACACACCATCATACAAAGGGATATAGGCCCCCTCGATTCCAATTCTGTCACCAACGGCAGCAGGCGCCTCACAGGCCTGTGAGGTCAGGTCAAACTGCCGTTTGGCGGGATGGTCACGGGCGAGCTTGTTCAACTGGCTTAGCCTACGCTAGGTTCGAGGTTCGAGTCCCGGCATGAGCACCAGAGATGTAGCCCCCAGTTCAGCACCGGGGGGGTGAACTCTTTTTAGTTCGTGTGAGTAATTTTGGGCGGGGATACCATGATTGCAGCCTTGATATCTTGGTGTCGCTTCGGCTTGAGATCCAAGGTAGCATTGCTCTTAGGTATAGGGAGTATTCAATTATTTTAGAGCGAGATAAACAAGTCTATTGAGTAGTAAAGAAGATTCGAGTAGGTGCGGTAAGTTGCTGCCGAGAGTAGCAGTTAGGAGGGGAGATTGGTGATTGCATAAGAAAGGTAATTACCACGGCAGACCCGCTAGATATATTGGAACTCTCGAGTCAGAATGAGACTGTCCTGTGGATTGCTAGATGAAATCTGTTGGTAGGAAGAGACAAGTTTCCCCTACCTCAAACTTCATTATTGCTGCTCTCCTACTCAGACAGGTTGCAGGACAAGGATGGCGATGTCTTGCAGCCTGAATAGTTAAAAGAACTTCTGTTGAAGTTGTGGACGGACAGGTTTTGGGCAAACAGAAAACTCGAGTTACTTCCCGTCCTAGATTCACAGAAGTTTAATATACATGAGCAGCGTACTCCGGGCTATTTGACAAAGACAGCGCAAACGCCACCATCCAGAGACATATTTCCTGCCGCAACACGCACTTTCTCAGTCATTGGTATAATGTGGCTGAAGCATATGTGTTAGTGCACATGAAAGAGTAGATGAATGTGACCTTTGTGAATCTCCAATCGGGTCTTTCGTCTTAGCAGCGTTGATCCCGTAGAAGCATTTCACAGAACGAACAAAAGCGTGGAGTTATGTTTTTATCAGCAACGGTTACCGATTAAGCCTTTGTTGAAAACTCGGTGTCGTGAATTCCATTCGTGTGTGAATATCGCCAAGGTCTCCAGCTAGCCCTGTCATCCCAATGCATCCAACCCCAGTTCAGATCTCAAAGACCTTCAAGACAACAGGTCTCAGGATGGTATGATGACGGCATGTCCAAGCTTTCTCTGAATCTGCCCACAATCCAAGTGAAGTATGCGCAAAGCCTGGCATCTCTGGGTAAATCCTTCCTTCAAATCTGGCCATCGGCGATCTCAGTCTTCTCCAGCTTCGGCTTGATATCCTCGGTAGTAGTATCCTCCACCTCCTCCTTGACCTTGGTAATGCGGGCCTTCTTCTTGGAAGGCGTGTCCTGCTCTTCGGCATTCGCGCCATCCTCCTCATCGGAAGGCGCCTTCTTCTTCGGGGTGCGCTTGACACGAGGCTTCTTGATGGGGGTGCCACCGTCGTTGCTAGCAGCGGAGGAGCCCTCACCAGTGACAGAGGTGCCGCCGGTGAACCAAGTCGGGTGCTGCTTGACGGCGGTAGCGACGCGGGTGCGGGCAGCGTTGGCGCTAGCGGAGCCAAGGTTGGCGGCGAGAGCGTCATAATCGATGGAAGGACGGGTCATGATCTCCATCATGCCGAACATGAGCTTGATCTCGGAGTCGGTAAGGTCGAGACCTGCGGCGGCCGTGCCAGCCTCAGTATTCTTCTTGGGAGGCATGGCTGTTTGTCTAAGGCTGGCGTTAGCGACTTGAAAGAGCGTGAGTGAGTTGAACCTTGGACAGAGGAAGAGACTGACAGTGGTAAGATATGTACTAGCTGTACTGGTGAATGAAATGGATAGAGTCTGTGAAGAAGTAGGGCGAGAAGCAAGGTGAGTGTGATGTGTTGGGTTGAAGAAAGTTGCAAGGCTTAGTGAGAGGGAGTTGGCTTTTGTAGGTGAAAGAAGAGAAGGAAGAAGGAAGAAGCAAGAAAGAAAAGGGCACTCACCGGTCGTGGGCAGAGCAACAGATGGAAGGAGCAGCTTTTGCCTGTCAAAGCAGGTACGCCTCCAAGTCAAAAATGGAAGGAACTTTCCAAATGGGCTTTACTCTCGAAAAGGCAGGCGCACCCTCGGGGGCCTTTTTTATAATTCTCTCAACACTCGCCTGGTATCTGATACTGGCACTAGCTTGGGTACCATGATTTTTTTTCGTACTCAGTCCAACCTCGTTTCTTACTGACTTACGCGTCACGAGTGTCTGCATAGGTACTTCGTTAAGACCGGCTTCTGCCTTCCCATTGCTCCAGCCTACTCTATAGGATCCACCAGCTCGAAAACGGTGCTACCCTCGTCGACTCCCGACCATCCAGCAACTTCATCCCTCCAGAACCTGCCAGTAGTATCGTCTCTGCAGTATCTTCACTCCATCCTTTTTCTCCAACAACTCTAATGCCAAGCGTGATCGGAGCGCTCGTGAGGCCGACAGGTATCTCACATCGATCGATGGCTGGAAACCAGGTAACCCCAGATACCTCCAGCCTCTCCCATTTCTCATCAAACTATCGATGTTATTGCTGTAGCTCCTCGTTGCTTTACGCCTTCTGCCTCGTCCCGTCGGCTCGCCACCAGCGAAAGGCCATCGACAAGCTAGAAGAATATACGATCGATCTTGACATAACGTTGCCGCCCAAGTAACAAGCACGCGTCCAAAAGTCCCGCACATCGTTGTTCTCGGGGCCATCAAACCTGTCTACCTTACCCTCCTGTCAAGTACTGCGATAAGACAACGCGACCACTCGGACACTGCGGACCCCTTCTTCGTCTAAATTGTCAACGTTGGAATCTGCCAGCCGGGCAACGCGCCTTGCGAGGTCAGACCAGTCGCCCCGTTCTCCGTGGAGCGTGTTGGGGGGGGGGGGGGGGGAACTCGCAAGTTATCTGTGCGCCATAATTGAAGTCCTCCTTCATTGTCCCGAGGAACATGGCTGCCGTAATACCGCGGTCTATCGGCAATGTTGTGCTGAAGGCCGGAAGCAGCCAGTTAGCCATGTTCTTATCAACCATCCGCTCCTTGACAAGATTAACCAGCTTCTCGGTCAACGCCGGCTCGTCAATGTGTTGAGCGGTGACTCCGTGATCGACGAAGACGACGAGGTCCTGTCTACCCTCATGGACGACGAAACAATTGTGCAGCGCTTCAGCGCGACCAGGTCCGTTGACGAAGAAGCCAAACTACAAGGACAGCTAGCCAGACGTCATCGGGTCGCAGCTCGAGGTGTAGGTGTTGCTCCCAGGCGCGGAGGACTGTGTTGATGAAACCGTCTTTGTAGGCCACGATGGTGTCTTTTTCTGCGTCGGAGACGGATGTTTAGACCGAACTCCGCCCATTTACACCACTTTGAAGAGACAATCCTTGGTAAAAGTCTCCAATTGGTGATGATTTCTGTGTGCATTTGCCCACGATTGCGTCGTGTGGTCTGATCATGGTTGGCACCAAGGACGGGGATATCTGTCCTGAGCGTTGAATCAGAAATGATCGGGCGCACCAATGGGACTTGGAGTTTGTTCGTCAATGACAAGATACTGTTGGCGGGGTTGATTTGCTAGAGACGACTTACTGCTGCAGTGCTGCCTGCTCTTGCTGAACAACATGACCTGTGCCGGGTAAGATCGTAACATTCCATCTCGCGGACATGCTTTGTGTACTACCTTAAGTACCTATTATGGTGCCTCGAACTACCGAATACAAAGTCAACATAGGTCTCTACTTTCAGGTACTAGTTCTCACACATCTCAAGCACTAGAGATATTTGCATTGAGAGCCCCATTGGCCTCACGCTGATCGTCTGCTTTATACTCTGGACAAGTGCTAGTAAGCTAAGTAAGGTGTTTGTTTCATGTCTTAGATCCTGCGATAATTAGAAATCGCCGTGGGCAGACGAAATTCTGCGTGTCAGAAAAGATACAAGATTAGGTTTGAATGGTGGATGTGATATATGACTGTCGAGCTGTGCGCCGCAGCACCTAGGTTTCGGTTTACTCCTAGGGACGGTTCGTGAAACTTGGCCCTGAAGTAGCTAGCATCACAAGGGCCATGGAGAATTTCTGAAAGTATGGAGAGAAGCGAACTCAAATCTCTAGCTTATTTGATTGAGATCTCTTTGTTTTAGCGTTGGTGAAGCAGGGCCTACAGAGTTTGGCACGTCCGTGGAAACCGTGGGAGCCGTGAGACTTTAGGCTAGCGGCCAAAGCACCATCGTCATCCCTAAAGAGGAGGGCCTATTGACTAAACCTAGAATCAATGTCACAGCATCGAAAAGCTATCTGTCTCTGTCTCAGAGGAGGGGTACTTGGTCCTGAGCAGTTCAGGGTTTACATGGGAGTCTTTTGTTATGATGTGTAGGGAATATCGGCTTTTTGTGAGTTCGTTAGTCATTACCTTCCTTACCCCAGTCTAAGTCCAGTTGTTGACCCACACTAGCACGATCATTATCCATAGAGTACATTGGGCACAATCAACAAGGTTGAAGACTAAATCGCACGCGGAGGTATTTCTTGAGAATATACGACTGAGATATAACAGGACATGTGATAATTCAGTATTGGAATAAGCTATGTTCATCAATAAGATGAGGTCAATGTGGACGACTTGGGTGTTTGAGGAATTTTACTTCATTCTATCGATAGGTCGAGCTGTATCCTAGTCAAGATGCGATCTAACTGACAAGAACACTAAGCTGCTTCAGGTAGATATTACAAAACCTGGCGCATATGATATCCCAACTGCCAAATCCAACAGCATTGAAAACTGCGTGACAGTCCTCAGCATTTACCCCTTGCGCCACCGCTCTTCCCGCTCTTGCTGGATCAGAAGTTGCAGGTGGACGTGCTCTGCTGGCGACAGCATTGGCTGAAGCCGAAAAGTCCTACTTCAAGAGCGCACTCGTGTTGCTGTTCCCAAAGGATTAGCCCCAATCTTGACTCCAAAAAAGTGTACAGTCCACTACTTACACCCTGCATGTTACCCTCAGAAGCCTGGCAACATCTCTCAGTCTGATCGTCCATGGGCACAACCTGATCTTGGTCGTTGCTGACGCAGCAGTAGATCGTCTGGGCTGCGGCACTGGAAAGAAGTGTTTGTGGTTAGCCAAGTCAAATTCAGATGAAACGAGGTGAAGTATGGACGAACCTGGCGGCAAAGCAAGCGGCGATGAGGGCGGCGACACGCATTTTGATGGTGGATGATTGAAAAGAGGTTTAAGTGAGTGTGAGTCTAGTGAATGTGGTGAAGAAGAGAGAGTGCTGATGAACGGCTGATGAGTGTTCCCGAGTGCCAGTAACGGGCGAAGTTGACAGCATATTATAATATCTGAGAAGATACATGTATGCTTGTTTGTATTCACTGTTAAAAGACCTTCTTACAGTTCTCTGCTTATACAAAGCTTTGCTCAGCCATGTAAACGAGGTTTACGAGCTTGGCAAATTCAGGTCGGGAGGACCGGGCTAGACGCATCATACCACAACGACCGACTCGTGAGCTATAGTCTAGTACACATACGGCAGGACTTAATTAAACATTCAATACAGTGTTGGGGTAAACCAAGTGATCTACACTATACAATTACACGGATCATAAATAGTATCAACCGAAAGCGAAAGTCGGCCTGCCAATGACGGCGTGGGTGGGGTCTGGGGGCCTTTAGGGTTCAACTCTTCGGGGTATTAAGATGAACCACCATATAGACTCTTGAAACCCGGTCCCTGGCAACTAATTGTGGAACTTGCCCTGTTGCTTCAGAATTAAGGTTGGCCGAGAGTCCGACTACGTTACCGACAAGAAATCTGACACATGAGCCAGGAATAGACTTTGGGCAAATGCTAGCACGTGGACGAGTTTTACGTGCTTTCATGATTTTGCGCTTGTTTACAGTATATGAGAATCAGCGACTCAGAACTGCGGGAGCCGCCTGGGCAAAAAGCTTGCGGGCATGCGGACAAGGAATTGACCCGAATGTCAACTAAGGTAGTGTAAACACCTGAATGAGGAAGCAGAACCCGCGGCCTTACCACGGCCCTGCCGTTGCTCTTTCAAATGAAGTAGATGCACAATGCCTCAAGCTAGACCATTCTTGACATGGAAGGCACATCGAAATCATACGAGGCAAACCTGGCTGCAGTGATATGCAGAGATCGACTGACGTGCATTGCTTTGTAAGGCTGAACTTGCGCGGGTTACACCGTTGGCGCCTCAAGTATTCTAGAAGACATATGCATAACACCACTATGACACTTTTCTGGCCTAATCAAAAGTTTGGCAACTTCGCTTTCGCTTCATTTCCGTACGATTTTAATTCATTTCTACAACAGGAGACTACCAATTGAGCAACATCTCAGCTTTCCCAACTCGTACAGCTCACAGGTCACAACCAAGCACGCCCCGGCAGAGTTTAGCCGCAAGTTCCTTGGCCTCTTCCTCGGTAGCGAGGAACTGACCCTCTCCCTTATCCCAAGTGAGTTCGGTTATCGTGGCATGGCGTTCATCGGTAGGTTCCGTTGCGTCGCCCCCAACCGGAGTCGCCAAGACGATGTTCATGCGAAACTGTTCGTCCCCGGTCCAGCTCCTATGCAAGTGCACCACAAAGTCGCCGCGGGCGTCCGGCTCATCTGCGCGGCACATCCAGCGGTCTTCCATTTGCGATGGCTTGAAGCCTTTGAGGAGCTTCTGGGCGTCGTCGCGA